GGTATAGTTCCTATCTTGCTCTTTAATAAGTCATTACAGTGGAGCTTTCTGGTTGTTACTCTTGTGTTGGTTTTATGCATACAGCAGGGGACAGAAGGTATTACTTGTTCCTTCTCAGTTTTGCCTGGGATGGAGTTATGAAAGATGGAAATTACAAAAGTGCCTCATGACTTACTTAAAGCAAATTGAATAAGAAGTCACTCAGAGCAAACAGCTGCACATCCTTCTGCACCCCTCTCAGGAATTATTTTTAGATGAGGCAGAGAAGATAATCCCTTCTTGCTCCTTCTTCTTCTTCTTCTTTTTTTTAAAAAAATCCTTTTCTATCCCAGATTCCTGCTCAGAAATCATGGGGATATTTGCCTGTGAAGTATAATGTTGAGTAGTTATAAAAAGAAATAGAAGCAGCATTGCTTTCAAAAGTTGAAGCTGCATATTGATCATAACAGGTAAGGCTTGAATAAAATGCTAGTGTGCCTGGAAGATTAAAGCCTCAGAAATTTTTATTTAAATAACAGGGGTCAATAACATCACTTAGACTGCAAGCCTAAGGGCACTTTCCTGGGAGTAAACTAGCTTTGGGGTTTGTTGTTTTATTTTGGTTTTAACTGAAAATGTTTTGTTTTTTCCTAAGAAAAACTATTATTGTAAGCTGCCTTGAACTATGAGGAAAGGAGGGCTATAAATGTTTTGATAATCAAATTGGACAACGTGAGGCTTACTTATGACTAGAGCAGTTTAGGAATGCTCTCTTAGTTGGAATATTTGTGGGGGAAATTGAGGAATACAATGGGATGACTTTGATATTTCCCTTTTGTTGCTTGCAAGTTAGGGTGGGGACAGAGAAGAAGAGCAGGGGACTCTGCTGCAAAGCTTTCAGGTGTTGGGTTGGAGGAGAAAATAACTTTAGCTCAGTGCTACTCTGATGTATTAGGCCACCTTGTGCCAAAGGTATGGTCAAACACAGAAAGAGGTACTCCCAGAACAAGCGGGAGTTAACTCCCTCTACTCTGTACAGTCTCTTACACTGACAATGACTTCAATGTGACTGGAGGATCTGGTGTCGCACACACTTCTTTTCTTCCCTGCTCAAATCCATATTTATGTGTGCTAGACTAGTGCAGGAAAGAGTGCCTTGTGCAGCACTTGCATGTGTAAAATTCATAGATGTGGCTAGGCTGTATTTTCCATGTGGTCCAGGGTAAAGATGCAACAGACTTTACCATTTATTCCTAAATATTTAAGCTGGTACTAGTACTAAAGGGGAGGGAAGCAGGGATGTAGCCTAAGAAGGTTGTCTATTTTTACTCTTCAGCATTGTGTTGTCCTGATTTCTCTGGCAGTAATGAGGTCAGCACTAACTGGCAGAAGAGAAAGATTGGCTCTTCTAAAAGTAATCCTGCATAATTGTGCTTCTCTCTTGAGGAATTTGGGCCTCATTGTGCAGCATTCTTATTGGCTTGCATTAACTCTAAGATTGCATTCAAGTCTTTATATCATCTCTTTAAGAATGGAAAGTGTCCCTAGAAAAGTGTACATATAGGATTAGAATTGCCAACCTCCAGGTGTGGCCTGGAGATCTCCTGGAATGATAACTGCTCTCTAGGGCACATAGATCAGTTCCCATGAAGAAAATGGTGCTTTGGAGGGTAGGCTCTATGGCATTATATCCCACTGAGGTCTCTCTCCAAACCTTGCCTTTATCAGGCTCCGCCCTGCCCAAACCTCCAGGAATTTCCCTCACCCAGAGTTGGCATCCCTAGATACCATGTTTTGATAGATCATACCAAAAGCTGATGAATGTTGACCATGAGAAACGCCATCGTTGTGATAGTTTTAAAACTATATTAGTCTTGCATTCTCAGCAATCTATATTATTGGGCCTTTAAGTCTTATCTATCTCAGCTTCAACTGCAATTGTCCTTTTATACTGTTTCACGATTGTTTTTATGTTGTTTTAACTGTTGGCTGTGGCAATTGCCTCTGTTGTTAGCCGCCCTGAGCCCGTTGGGGAGGGCGGGGTATAAATCTAATAAATAAATAAAATAAATTTTCTCTTGAGAAAATGTTTTACCTTTGATTGGAATTTAATGAAGCAGTTCTTCAGAAAGTGGTCTTATGGGGCTTTTGACATTTTTTTCATTACAAATAGAATTGCCTTTTTAAGTCAAGAAAAACCAAATTTCAAATGCAAAGATCCCCTTGACTTCTGTTTATAGCATGAATAATGTTTAGTAGTTGTCCTCTGAATATATACCCATTTGATGGAGCAGTCAGTGTCTCATTTACTATTGTGTTGTGAAAATGATCTTACTCTTTCTGCCTATGAAAAATTCACCAGGGAAGCTTAGATGTTCTCACTTCCTTGCGGTATTCTGTGTGTGTATCCAAGTAACTCTGAAACTGAGACTGAAAGACAATCTGGACTGGTGAATAAATACCTGTCAAGACACAGCATGGGTTAAATTGTAGTTAATCAAGCCCTGCTTTTGGAATGTCATTGTAACCCTTAAGACTTTTTTATTTTGCTTGCAGGGTAGGTCTCTCCCTTCAAAATGTCAAAACAGCCAGCTTCAAATGTCAGATCTATTCAGGTAAGTGACAGTGCTTACATTACTAAATATTTGGCTTCAAAACTGTCAGTTTGGTTGGTGCACTAGTGTTAAATAGAATTTTTTTTTTAATGTGCTAGTCATGCAAGCAAATGTAATTATCCCCAAAATTATTGTTTTACTTTTTTAAATTTGCATCAGAATGGTATTGATTAGACAGATTTTTTAGTGTGCTGAATTAAGAACAACACACAGAATTTCCTGCAATAAAGATAATAATCATGATCAATAACTGATCTCTGTATGTTTTCTGAAATGATGAGCTGTAGGCTACTTACAGTTTTTGGTGTTGCCTGAGAGAGGTTCCCATTCAATTGAACAGGACAGCCTATTTTCAAGAACTAACAAAAGCATCAAAGAATGTATAGAAATGTTATTGAATCCATACATAATTAAATGAAGCTAAAGTATGAAGGCTTGTGCCACTGCCACACCACTGACATTGGTTAAACAAAATGGTAGAAATGCAAGTGCTTTAATTGGATTGGTGCTTGTAAATACCTTTTTAAAAAAGATATCTAAAGCAGCATGTATAATTTCTGTGAGTGAAGTTGACCTCAGTGTTCCCATTGACTCTAACAGGTTTAGACCTGAATGAGCTTTTTCACACTTAGCAACTAGGTAGTGGAATGGAATCACTAGAAAACGGGATCCAGTTTAGTCTTTTCCTTCCCTTAACTCTCAGTTTAGTTCAAGGTATTTACTTAAACAACAGCAACAAAACCACTGAACACTTTGAACCAGTTCCTGTACATTTTGTATAAGTTATTATCATGAATTCTTAAAACTGCAGTGTAGGTCCTACAAAATGAATATATTTAGAAATACCTGATTTGAGTGTTTTTTTTAAATAAACAATTTGTTTGAATAACAATGAAGCACTGAACTTAGCACACTTTGAACTTATCCCCTAAACTAATTATTATATAATTATTGTTCCTGAGATGGGCCTCACTTAGAAGAGTCCAGGGATGGTTAAATTTGTTTGTTCGCCTACGTTTGACCAGTTGTGTCTTCTTATAATTCTCATACACAAGATCAAAAGCTGAATGAAAATAAATAAATTCTGGTTGAAAACTTAGTTGCACTTAATTCATCACTGAGAATTATAGTTTTCAGTAATTCCAAATCAGCCTGTGGTTTAGTTAAATTAACTTTATATTTCCCTCTTGTAAGAGAGGCAGTGTCTATTTGGTATAAAAGTAAATATTAGGAGACAAGAGAATACAAGGCTAAGTCTGCCAAGAAGTATGGTCATTTTAATTATTAAATTAATATTACTTGACTTTAGCTGAGAGGCAAAGATAATCTCATGGTAGTCTTTGCTTTGGTAGTATGTATTCCTCATGTTTTGGTGAGTAAAATGGGTGGGGATTCATAAAAAGAGACCTACAACCATCCAATGCAGTATCCTATTTCTCACAATGGCCAGTCAGATGCCTCTGGGAGTCCCAAAAGAGATCATGTAGGCAAAAGTTTCTCCCATTGTTCTCTCTGGCAATTTCATAAACTGTCATAACATTTCATTTAAAAAATCATGTACTGATCCATTCTTCCTCTCATTCTCTATCACCACAGTAATATTTATTAAGTGCATTCTAGCCTTTCTTTTAATTCACCATAGATATTCTCAAGAAGGCTTTATCTGGGTACAATGTTTTAAGACCGATTAACCCTCTTTAAGTGAGTATTACTTACTATACATAGTAAATATATATATTTACTAGAGTTATCCGCCTTGAATCTCAGTTGGAAAAGGTGGACTATGGAGTATAAATAGCAACAATGAAGTTGATTTAGGTGATGATTGATGATGTATATTTTTATAGAAGGATATAAAATGTCAGGGCTTATGTCCAAGGTAAACAAAATTGGATACAAACACCCAGTTCAGTGAACAAAGGAGTTTTATGTATGGAGCATCCCTGTTGACAACAGTTTCCACATTCACTTCCAAGGAGAAGACAGCTTTGCATATGCAGAACTAACATTTATATTGAAATAAATGGGGAGGTTCATTATACAAGATCAGAAAGAGAGAGGGGGGATATTTTTAGAGTGCACAAGTGATTTTTGAAATACATGAAAGGCCTTTGAGGAGCAGGACAAAGGTCCATCTAGTTCAGTATTCCCACATGAGAAGGATGAGAAGGAGGAGATTGGATTTTTACCCCCCCCTTCACTAGCTGAAGGAGTCTCAGACTGATTTCACACAAGAGCTGCACCGTGGTCATGCCTCCCTTTGCCCCGCTTCTATTGGTCAATTTCCCACTCGAAGCTGCGTGGCCGCATTTTGACCCACGGTTTCACCCGATTTTCCCCGCGGTTTCCCCCCTGTTTTTTGAGGATCACGAAACCGTGGGGAAAATCAGGCGAAGCAGCAAGTCAAAATGCGGCCGCGCGGCTTCGAGTGGGAAATTGACCAATGGAAGTGAGGCAAAGGGAGGCACCACCATGGTGCAGCTCTTGTGTGAAATTGGTCTCAGAGCGGTTTACAATCTCTTCCCTTTCCCCTCTCCACAACAGACACCCTGTGAGGTAGGTGAGGCTAAGAGAGCTCTCTCGAGAACTGCCCTTGAGAGAACAGCTCTGAAAGAACTTATAACTAACCCAAGCAGAAGACCATAAGCAGGACATGAAGGCAGTGATCAAATTAGCAGGGGCCAGTGGGTGCCCACTGTGAAGAAATGCATTTTTTTCTTTGGAAGTTTGAACTGAACAAACCTTCACTCTGAGTTTTAAGCTTTTGTCTCTGGTCAGAGAACAGGCAGGAGGGGAAAAGTCAGTTCAATTGCTTTCTAACCTCACCTCAGACCCCTTTATAGTAATGCTAATAGGTTTAGCAAGAGACAGTGGGATGGTCCAGTCTCCGTCCCCCCCCCCCCCTTAAGCAGGAAAGAAGAAATTTGGAGGAATTAAGGCTAGAAAGACTTCAGGAAGAAATTCCTGGAGACTTCAGGAAAAGTTTAGTTGACCTGGCCTGACCGGGTCAGTAGGAGATGAAAGAGAGATGATAAAACTCTTGGGAGCAAGGACAAAGGGATCTTCTGGTGCTGATTCCATTGAAACAGACAGAACTCTTAACTGAGGTTTGGAGGAGGAGGAGGCTATTGCCATGTGCTGGCCAGCACACCTGAAGGAAGCTTGAATGTAATGGAACTCCTGTAATAATAATAATCTGTAACTTTCTAAATTAGGGAGCCTGCCTTATATTTAACAACTGATAGGGCATGGGAGGGATAGAGGAACTCAATTTTACTCTGTTCTTTTAAATCCCTTGCTCAATTTGGTGTTGTACTAAAAGTTTGCTTGTGATCACTTCCTTTTTAATAAATGCTTCATAACTTTTGATCTTGGTAGTGGTTCTCTGTGCCACATAGACCTCCACCGTCTTGGACATGCTATTTTAAAAAGAGTGCCAGGAAGAAGGGGAGGGCAGTCAGTTGGCAAGTGGCTACTGCCCTACTGGTGCACAAGGCACCCCACCCACCCACAGAATGCCCCAAATCCCCCCACCGGAGCAATGAGGGGACCTTGCAACCCTAGCCTATCTGCATGATCTTGACTTCAGTTTAAACAGGACATATATCCATATTTGTTTAACTGACATAACTTATTCTAACTCAATAAAATGGTTTTATATGATGCAGAATTTAATTGTTTTCTGCGGAAACAGCTGATGACAGACCCAATTTTGTGCTTGTCTGTCTAAATAAAAGTATTTTGGTATGCTCCATCCCAATTGTAACATTTTTAACTCTTGATGCTTGCAGCTAGAAAGTCAAGTATATGATTTAATCTCTGTTGAAAACAATGAATTAAAAGTTGCTTTACTTTGTCTAGATCATATGTTAGTTTAGTGACTATAACTGCATTTCTGTCAATGTTTACTAGGGAACAAATTCAGTGATTTGTCGGGGACTTACTTCTGAATAATCACGTATAGATTAGGGCTAGCCCAGTTAATATCAGAAATGTTTTTATAATTGCTTAGAGATGCACAAATAGAACCATAAAAATTCATCCTTAAGACCTGAGAGTTAGGATACCAACCTCCAGGTAGGACCTGGGGATCCCTTGGAATTACAGTTTATCTTCAGACTACAGATATGAGTTCCCCTGGAGAAAATGGATGCTTTGGAGGATTGACTCCCCAGGCTCCATCACCAAATCTCCAAGAGCTTCCCAACCTGGATCTGGTAACCCTTCCCCCCAATGCCCCACTGGTGGCCAATGGAGACCTGGCAGCCCTATAAGGGCTGGTTGACACTTTCCAGTGGCTCCTATATGAGTTTGTGGCTGATTACCTCACTTCATCTGCAATTGTGGCAAAATGTGAATGTGTACACTATTGCTTCCTCATAAAGCCCTGGGTTCAAATAAACTGGCTATTCACCTAAGCAAAAGCCAGCTGCAAATCTCCTTGCAGACTTACAATGAACAGAGGTGTGAACACAAGCATAGCTGGCAACAGTGTCTGCCTTGCATGTCTGCCCTGAAAGAAAAGTGTGAAAGACACTCAGACCGATTTCCCACAAGCGCTGCTCCACGCTTGCTCTGTCCTTTTGCCCCGATGGTATGTGTCAATTTCACATCCTCAAAAAACAGGATTGAGTAGACGCGGGGAAAATCATGCGAAGCTGCGGGGCAAAATGCGGCCGCACAGCAGCTTGTGTGAAATCGACACGTACCATCGGGGCAAAAGGAAAGAGCAAGCATGGAGCAGCGCTTGTGGGAAATCAGTCACAGTGTTTCTCTTGATGATCAGAAATATAGCATAATGATTAATTTTTGCTAATTTGCAAATGTTACAGATCAGTTCCTAACATTTCAATCAAATTATGTATAAAAATTATATTCTGATAAGGTAATGATTTGGTTTTTAATTTCCAGGCTAATATTAACATCCCGATGGGAGCACTCTTACCTGGAGCAGGTCAACCACCTAAAAGGAAAGAATGCACTGAACCTGATGAGGTGAGAGCAACATACCTTTACATGAGCAAAACTTCATAAATTCTTGTGAAATTAATTTCTTTTTATCTTAGGACACCATAAAATGATTAGTCAACAGAGATCAATATATGCCTGTTGAGTGCTATCTGAACTATAGTGTCTTTGTAATATAAAAGCATAGTAGAAGCAAAGTTTCTAAAAACTGGTAGCAACACCTCCATTTTTCTTGTGTTGTGGAGACTAGAAGTTACAAGTTTGAGAATGAATGAATAGAGTCCCTAGCACTGCAATGGGTAAACCTGTAACCTAATTTAATTAGACGTTTGGCAACTGATATAAGAAAATAGATTTGCTATGGTATTTCTTTTTTACATAATACTTTTATTTGTACAAAACCCTAATACAAGAAAATAACAGGCACTCTAACAGATTATATCCAATCAAAATTTTCATAAGGTAATTTTTTTTCTTGAAATTGCTATTCCAAAACACACTAAGCTTAGGCCATTTCTCTAGAAAGCAGCTAGGCTATCTCTCTAAAAATCAACATACTCCCAGATCTCACACAATAATCAATTTTGTCATTAGCACAATTTTCCTCACTTTCTGATATCATTCCCCAGCTAAAGGTTGTATTAATTTCCAGTTAACTTCTGTACACATACACACAAAACCTTTATTGGCATGAAAGCACAAAACATCATGGAAATACGGGAAAATACTAAGATGCATCAGTCACTTACACTTGGCTATTCAAGTCTCGTCTTCTGATTGCATAATATAAAAATTTTGCAACAGCCTCCATTATTTCGCAACTAGAATTAAACAGAAGAAAGTGAACAATTGAGTCATCAGAGTGCCAGCTCTTACCCTCTAGAAATGGAGTAATAAAATGAGATTGGATATCCCTATAGAGGGGGCAATGAAGTATGGTGTATGTAGTGGATTCTATATCTTTTAGAGAGCAAGGACAAAGTCTGTCTACATATGGTATCTGGCGGTACCTCCCTAAAAGCACCTCTGATGGCAGAACATTAAAACGTGCAAGCATGTATACTCTGCGATGATGTGGGGCTGTTAAACTTGACAGATACTTCGCAGTAGAGCCCATGTCAAAAGTCCCCAACCTGCTTGGGGAGCATCTGCTGGCTGCGCGTTCCCTAAGTTCTTGCCTTTTGATGTCAAGAAATCTTTGTTTAATAATAGCATAGGTTTGTTTATCTGAAAAGGGGGCTAAATAATCTGGGGATATTCCCATTGTAGAGAGTTTCTCCTCTACATATATAAGCCATGGAGAAAGATGGGACTCAGTTAACATGTAATAATACTTTTAGCTTTAGCATGGAAATGAAGTTTAAGCCAGAACTGAGTTGTTATCAGCCATGCTCTGCTCGATAGAAGCCTTTGATTGGTTTCTAAGCATAAAACTTCTGTTCACAGTTTAGTGGCTGTTAAGTAAACAAAAACCACTATTCCAAGTTGGACTCTATAACTGTCCCTTTCAAGTAGTGTAACAATATCCTCTTGAGTTAAAGGGCAACAAATGAGCCATTGCGTGCATTCAGATGGGGTATTTACAACGGTATAGGTGCCAGTTGGAATTGGTGTACTTATTGGCGTTCACACGTAGAACATCTGCCTTCCATCCCTAACAGTTGCAAAGAGCTTTAAGCCGGTGTATTTTGCTACTAGGTCCCCGTGGTATCCTGAGTGCACCGGTTGTAACGGCTTTACCCTCTGTCTGATCGCTCTCCACCGTTGTACAGCCACTTCTGTTCGGAAGCCCAAGGCTTCCGCTTTTCGTCCGCCATTTTTTTTGTTAGGTCGGTGATATGTGCTTGGGCGAAGCTTCGCCCTGGCATTTGTTTAAAAAAAGAGGAAAATGTCCTTAGTTTAAGGTTTTAGAGGAGTCTGGGACCTCAGGGATGCCAGTTTGGTCTTTAAACTTTAAAGGTAAGTCCTCTCTTCAGGGCATGCTTTTCGGGACGGGGTGTTTTGTACATGTGTGAAGATCGCCATTCTGTGGATGGCTGCCTATGCGCATGCGCAAACTGAGTAAAAAAACCACCGACACCCGCTGTGTGTGAATGGGCATACAGCGATGGGTTCCGCAGACAGGAGGTAAGTGTGATCGTGTTTATGCCGGTTGAAACGCCCCATTTGAACGCACCCATTGTGTCATAAATTAATTCTATAATCATACAGCAAAATAGATTCAGTTACAAACAATTTCAAAAATATACATAAAGCTGGCTTTAGTTCCATGATATTTCCAACATGAGCCCAGGGAAGTAGAATATTTTTTGACAATATGGTGTAAGTATGGTAATGAATAGGCAACTGGTTGAGGATTGGGGGGGACTTACTGGGAGCAGAAGGGAAGTTCTGCTGATGTGCAGCAACATGCCCACATCACTACCGAAGTGGCGCCATCAGTACCAGGACATTGGAGCGATGCTTTGGTATTTGGGCAAAAACTCTATGGTAGAAGCCACATTTACCATAGTTTTTTTAACCAAATACCAGAGCATCACCCCAACATCCCAGAAGTCATTATGTTACTGCCAGGTTATGTGGGCAGTGACGTAGGCACATTGCTGCACCCCGGCAGAGCCTCCCTCTTTCTCGGGGTAGGTTCCCCCTGCTGGCCAGCTGATTTACGGCTGGTTGGTGAGGCCTATCCATGGGAGAACCCCACCTCCACCAGGTGGTCTAGGAACCCTAGTCATGAAAGTTTCCTTCAAGTTCATAGAAAATAATTTAGAAAAGAGATTGAGTTGGATCCAACCAAATTTTCTGCTGGTGAAAAAGGGAGGACAGTAGCCCCTTTCACTACCAAAAAAGTTGTGTTAGGGATCATGGGACAAAAGCCACATCAAACAAAGCCACATAGGGCAGGGGTGTAATAAGAGGAAAGCTGTCAAAGGTGAGTGAAAAAGCTGACTAGGTCCAACTCCTAATCCTGATATTCGGTCCCACTCTACTTGTAAAATCACTTAATTAAGATCCCTTTCCCATTTATATACAAAATCATGAGGGAAACAGTCTAGATTTAACATCAATAAATTTATAATGGATCTTTCTTTGCTGAATATACCAACCTCTCTTATTCTTTCAAATTCAGTTTTAATCTTCAAACCATTATTAATAACATGACATGTTGTAATTGAAAATATTGCTAAATTGAAGATATTTCCCCATCCATTATTCTTTTATCTCCTCAAAAATGCTTTAAAAAATCTTGTTACTTAAACGAGCTTCTAAGGTAGTTACAAAAATTATTGTTTACCATAAATTTAATCATTAGGAAGGATATTCCACATATAAAATTTCACTTGCTATCTAAGGATGTATTATGACAACTATTATAAATAGGAGTCTTGTGGCATTTTAAAGACTAACAGAATTTGTTTTCCAGGTTAAGCTTTTGACACCTATGAGGTAACTATCACAAAATCATCCAGTCATCTGAAGCTTTCATTATAAGTTGATTCATTTTTGAAACTTACGATTGTTTAAACAGTAGTCATTGAAACGGAAGTCTTTGCTATTCCGCATATGAATGGTTTCTTACTTGAATGAGTTCAACTCAAGTGTTAAGAAACTATGGGCTGTATATAATACACTAACAAAGGAAAACTGATGGCTTATGGGCATGGTCAGGTCACCAAAGCATTGTATCCTGCAGTGGTAACACTACTAAATTTTAATTAAGACCGTGTTTAAAAAAATCTGCTGACAGTTTTATTTACAAGGGACAGACAATTGTTTTCAAAGGATGTGAGGTATTATGCATTTTACTAGTACATATTACATATCTAGACACTTATGTGAATTCCTAGACATATCCGATCTTCCCCATAAACATTAAGCTTTTATTAATAGGTGGTGCTGATTTTATGGTAGAGCTTCACCCCCTATGAAGCAAGTTGGAGAATGCAGCAAAAACATCCCATCGCTGGATCACTTCTCCAAGAATATAGCAGCTGGCCATCCCTGTTATGCACCATAAAGCATATGCAAAGGCAGTGTAAGAAATCAGAGCAAGTTTATGAAATACATTTATTTATTTAGGTTATGATCCAGCCAAACCTAAGCACTTTTACGTCCCAGCTCATCAGAAGAAAGTTAAGCATGACCTTTAATAGTGGTTAAAAGCTTGATGTTTACTTAGAATTTGTGAATGTTTCTGTCCTGTGTGTGACTCCGTTTGTTTTATGTGACTAAATGGATGGTGGCTATCCCCCCTCAGTGTGCCATAATGGTGCTAGCTATGCTGTAACTTCAACACAAACACAATCAACCAGGCAAACTTACCTTGGGTGTCTCACTTGAACAGATGCAAAGTGAGCTCCTGATTAAATTGCTTTGATATACCTTGTTCAAGTTCATGTCAAACAGCCTTGGACTTGCACACAGCTACGTAAATCATTGTAGCTTTGGTGTGATGGTCTTTTTTAAAAATTGAAATTGCCACTATTATAGCATTATACTATTTTTGCCATTAGGCAATAATCCTGGCGGTGTGGTGTATAAACAATGAAAAAAATCAGAGAGGTATACTCCTGCCAAATTCCCTAAAGAGCCAGTGTGGTATTCTGGTTAGAGGGTCAGACTAGGATCTGGGAGACAGAGCTTCGAACCTGCTCTCTGCCATGGAAGCTGGCTGGTTGACCCTGGGGCCAGTTACTTTATTTCAGCCTAACCTACCTCACAGGATTCTGGTTGTGAAGACAGAACGGAGGAGGGGCAAATTATGCAAGCTGCTTTCCATTGGGGAGGAAAACCTGGTATAAATATCTAAATAAATAAATAACCAGAGAAGGAAGCAGATTCATAATCAGAACAACCTGACACCAAAAGTACACAGACACCCCTAAGCGATATTTGAATGCAAATGAAATGTTTCCCTTTTAACTATGTGCTTTTGTAAAGTGGAGGCAGTGGCAGATGAGGGAAGTGCAGCTATTCAAAAAAATACTGTAAATGCTGACCCAATGGTGGCTCTGCTTACTAATATC